GTTAGCTCAAAGATGCATGGATATGAATGTTGATGTGCATGTTTGTTACGTTGATTTTGAAAAAGCATTTGACAAAGTAAGACATGAAAAATGAGTCCAAATTCTAAAGACAAAAAAACATAGATCATAGGGACTTACGAATAAAAACAAACCTTTACTGGAATCAAAGAGCACAAATCGTAATAGATAACGAACCCAGTCCAGAAATTGAAATCAGAAGAGGAGTTAGGCAGGGTTGTATTATGTCCCTATTACTATTTAATCTATATACACTCCGCGTCATAGAAAACGGGCCACTCCAAATATTTAAAATATTTTCGAAATTATTATTTATTGCTGCAAAATTAAGCATTTATTTTTTCGTATATTGAATCGATAACTCGTTTAGTATAAAATTTCATCATTATCATAAAACATCAATCGAAAATAAAAAATTTAAGCAAAATAGAAATTTATTGAAAAAATCAACTTACAGTTTTTAAAACAACAATGAACTGTATATTAAAATAAAGCTGGTAGCCATTTTCAGTAATGGGTATTGCCACCTCGATTCTGGATAACACTCCTCATTCGATTTGGCATGGAATTTATAACGTTTTGGATATCTCTTTGGAGAAAAGTGGCCCATTCCTCAATGAGTGCCATCTGGAGCTCTCCAGGTGTTGTTGGAGCAGGTATGCGACGCCTAACGCGACTTTTTAGCAGGCTTCATATATGCTCAATAGGATTTAAATCGGGGCTTTGAGCAGGCCAGTCTATTTTTTGAATACCAACCTCGTCAAGGTACTCCGTTACTGTCCTTGCCGTGTGTGGTCTCGCATTATCCTACATTAGCAGGAATTCGTTGCCAATAAATCCAGCATAGGGCATCACATGATGTAAGATTTCTGTTATGTACCTTACTGCTGTTAACGCACCTCTGTCGATCACGACGAGATCCGTATGCTCATCAAAAGAAATCCCTGCCCAAAACATTACTAAACCACCACCAAAAGCAACCCGTGGTGCCTGAGTGCAACCAGCGAAACGTTCTCTAGCTCGTCTGTACACCTTACTACGTCCGTCTTTACTATAAATAGACATTCTTCACTCATCCGTAAACAATACTTTTTTCCAATCGTCTGCTGTCCAATTGATGTGCTCACGGGCAAAATCAGGTCTTCGACTTTTGTGAGCTGGGGAAAGTAAGGATCTCGTTGCTGGACTGCCAGCTGTCAAACCCTTAATCTTCGCCGAATAGTAGTAGAAAGGCTGATTGCTGGTCCTTGAGCTTGCTGTAAAATGGCCTTGAAGCATTCTAGCGGTTTGGGTCCGATTCCGTAATGCAGCAAGAAGGACGACGCGATCTTCCCTAGCGGGTTGTTTTCCTTTTTGGACCCGTACCAGGTCGTCGTTGGTGAGATCCTGTGACAATAAATGGTTGCTGGGTCCTTTGTACAGTCGAACGACTAAACATTCAATTGTCTTGCAACATGTCTTTGACTTAATCCGCTTCCCAGTAATGTTACAATTTCAACCGATTTTGAAAGTTCTCCATTCTTATTAACTAAAGACTATTTCACACTAAGTCGGCTACTGTAATACTGAGATGCGTTTAAAACTCATTAGAACCCTTTACATTATCAAACATTTCTTAAAACAATCGCTTCCTCGAAAATTGATCAAGTTGTAAAACTTTTTCTCAAAATTGTTGTTTTTTTAGGTTCTACGAATATCCTCAATCCAGTTACAGGGTCGTTTGGTTTTGCAAACAACCCATTTAACTTAAATAACCCAAGACACATTAAAAATAAAATAATAATAATTCAATATACACAAAATAAATGCTTAAATTTTGTAGCAATAAATAAAATTTCGAAAATATTTAAATAATTGGGGTGGCCCGTTTTCTATGACGCGGAGTGTAGTAAAGCCATTTTTAAAGAAACAATACTATCTCAAAGTGAAGGAATAATAATTAACGTAATACCTATTAACAACATAAGATATGCAGATGACACCGTGATTATGGCAAGGTCTGTTGAATAACTCAAATCACTGTTAAACAAAACAAACAGTTTCTGTGAAAAATGTGGACAAAAATGAATATAAAAAGACAAAATACATGATAATAACAAATATACCAACAAACATACATTTGGGAAATGTACCGATAGAAAGGGTTGATAAATTCAAATACCTAGGAACATGTATTTCAAACAATAATGATCAAACAGTCGAAATAAGAGCTAGGATAGAAATAGCAAGAAATGCGTTTGTAAAAATGAAAAACAATTCTCTGCAACAAAGATCTTATAGATTAGAACTGAGAGTAAGAGCACTGAGATGCTACGTGTTTTTGATACTGTAATATGGACTTGAAAGCTGGACATTGAAGCAAGAACACATAAATAAGTTACAGTCCTTTGAAATGTGGTGTTACATGAGGATGCTTAGAATAGCATGGACACAGAAGAAAACTAACACGGAAGTATTGCGAGAAATGGGCAAAGAATGCGAAATAATAAACACAATAAAAATAAAAAAGTTACAATATCTGGGACACGTAATGAGGGGACAGCGATATGAACTGCTAAGGCTGATAATACATAGAAAGATAAGAGGAGGAAGGAGTATAGGAAGAAGGAGAGTGTCGTAGAAGAAGACAGCACTTAAAGAAGAAGAAGTGGTCGTAAAAGATTTTCTATTTTTGGGACTATATAGATCACTATAATATTCCTTTTTTTATTCTCGTTATTTGGGTTCTATTTTTTATTTTACCTTTTTTATGGCTATAACTACATTTATTTCGATTTTTGGTTTGGCAATTCTTAAATTTCTGTTTTCTTCCACAATTTTTCGATGTTTTTTATACCGTGTTTAATTTTTTCAGTTTTATTTTAAATTTCGGTATCGAGTGTATTCTGTGGTGTTTATTTTAATTTCTTGAAATATGATTCTGCGTCATTATAAATATCTATGGACTTGTTGTATTGTTGTTTGATATTTCTTCATTTTTTACTTCTAAAATATATGAACATGTAGTTATTTTATAGATTCCCGTTAATGTTTTATTGTTTCCAAATCTGAATTCAAAATAAACCCGAACTCAATCTCTAAAAATAGTTTTAATATTATAGCTACAGCACAACTAAAATTTTCTATAGAAACATCCTCCAACCTCTCTAAATATAGTTAGCCTCCCTCCTAGAAGTAAGTAAGGGTAATAGTTGTTAACTCCTCCTCCATAAGTGATGAAAATTAAGTTTGACGATTTTCTTGTTGGCATGAAATTTCCTCTGGTCCCAGATGAATAGCCTTGAAATATTAACGTGTTCGCTTACAAACTAAGTTACGAAAATATTGTTTGGTCATTGATCAATGATTGCTAGGTTTTATGAAATTGGGAATTTTCAATAGAGGTACTTACCGTAGGTATTTATTTTCTTTTATTTAATGGAACGATTACTAGTGTGTAGAAAATTTCCTAATATTTTAAAACGGTGCATTAAAGAATTGTTTGTACGAAACCGTAAAGAACGATGGTAATTCGCTAAATACCAAATTCGTAGATCAGAGGAAATTGCTTGAGTTTATAGTAGAACCAGTAAAAGAGATCTGAATGCAAGTAGCAATATTTATATTAATATTTTTTGATATATTGAGAAAAAGAGAACACAGATTTCTACAATGGAAGTTGTTAATTGTTAATTGCATTAAATTAGATCCCTATTAAACGTGTGGTTAATCTGAATGGAACCGGAATAAATGATTATTCGTATTATTTTTAAAAACAATTTTAGTATAACAAATGAACACAATTATATTATGTTTGATCATCCATAAACTGAGGAGAACGTGCTAAAAATATTAAAAACAATAAAATTATTGTTAACCTACCCCTACTCTAAAACTGGAAGTGCAATGTGTGTTGCAGATTTTCAGGGGTTCATTTATCTTTATTTTTGAGCCTGTTTAAAGAAGCTATTAATCCATGCAACACTTAAATTATCCTATGATGTGACATAAATTCAATTCACTAATTTAGTGTAGATATTTTGTGGTATTTTTAGTATTATTTAGCATTAACATTGAACTGTTAAAAATAAGATCAAATATTTAGCTAAAGATTCCAAATATTATTTGTATGCTTTCATGAATGTAATTGGCTCAATCAGAATAATTACATTACCGTCACGTTGTACAACGAACCTACAATTTGTATGAAAACCTAGCTTTAAATAGAGATGTAACTGGTCCATTAGAGTAGAAAGGAACACAACATTGTTCCTAAAATTTGTTAATGCTCCATATCTTTAAATAAATTTGAGAGAAGTTATTATCTAAGAATATTTAGGAAGACTAGAAACAACTTCTAGGAACTGAAAATGGACAAATCAAAGTATTGAAAGGATAAAATTCATCAAAATCAATTAGAAATTTTAGAGTTATTAGTTGAAAATAATCTACCTCATTGTTTTAAATCACTATTATGGTTTTAATGTATTATTTAGAGTTTTCTATTACTCTGGTAAACTTTTCAATGAAAATTTTACACTTCTCAGCATCTCTGTGGTATATGAAAATAATATCTTGGTACTCCAAGTTGGAAGTTGGAAGTACAAATAAAATTAAAAAATCTTATAAACTTTTATTTTTAATTTTAATTATCAGATAGTAATGATTTTGTATTAATTTGCGTATGATTTTTAATCAAGCGTCTATTGTTACAAAATTACAAAAAAAAACGTTTCACAGAATAGTTATAACAAGTTTCTTATTCCGTTCCTTTGCCATAGTAACAACTCTACTAACAAGATTTAAGTACAGAAGGAAGTATATAGGGGGCGTAAGTGTCGTAGGCGATTGCGATTGGATTGTCGAATGTTGATTGATCAGTATACTCATGTTGTAGTGGGTTGTGTTTTTTGTCGTGCCATATTATTATTGTTATTATTATTTAAGTTATAGCCACTATAAATTTAAAGACTGTAGACTCTTAGTGATGTATTTTAGGATACAGAGGTTATTATTTTTAGCAGTCCTCATTGGATTTGCATCTACAGCACAGGTAAGGGAACATGTACTTACTTCATTTGTAAAAATTTTTATGATGTTTAACCTTTCAGATTTACTAGCTGCACGTAACATTGTTAGTTAGATTATACATTAAGTAGTTGTACATAACATGAAAAAGTAGGATATACCTCCTACATATTTTTCAATTGAAGATACTTAGTTGCAGATAATACCTCATTATTTACATTTTAGTGTATTTTAGACATAAATCAAACTTTTTATGCAGGAAATCATAAACATAACACGTTTTCGCGCTTTCCTTTTTATCTATTTAAGTTTTTTTATTAATAATGTAAACACAAGGTTCATAAAGTGTCAAATGCACTTGAATGTGTGTCACAAAAGATATTTTGTAATAGACATTGTAAGATTATCTGCAGATAGAACCTTTGTAGATGTTTTCCTTGTATTATTTAAATAATTGATTGATATATTTTATTTATGAAGAAATATACTGATACCTGGTTTTTTCTAATAAAAACATTAAAAAACAACCTTTATAAGACAGATATAAGTTAGAGGATATAGCAATCTAAGACAAAACATGAGTCAGGTGTGTGCTTCCTATTTTTAAACTTCTATGAATTGTTTATATGAATAATAATGTAAGCAAGTCTATCTGTTGTATTATTCATTTATTGGATATTATATCCTAACAAATATTGATTAAAATTTTAGCTCAAATGGCTCAGTATGTATTTTTCTGGGTTTTGTCTTTGCTGGCATTAACAATAGCCTATAATTGGTTTTATATGTTTCATATCATTTCCTTATGTTATTCCCTTGAAAGTTAAAAGTTCTGCATCTTAAAGCTGTGGTATTTTCCAACATGTTCTTCAATTTTTTCAATTATATTGCTCTTCCTGTGGGCTATTTTATCAATATTTTCCATGTATATCACATGGCAAAGACAGTATTTGTCTGCTTTAATAATCTTATTCTATCAGCACCTTGTTTAATAAGATCAAAGTTCATTCTGCATTTCTTCTAGTTTACATCATACATTATGGATGTTTTTGTACATTTTATGCATGAATATTTTAAGGCTTTTATCTATTGAGAATATCTTTGCAGTGAATATTGTTATATTGCTTTTAATTGTGTCCCCCAACATACACATTACCAAACATAGGTTACACAGATGTTTAATTTATTATTGTCTCATGCTTGGTCTTGGGGTTGATCACTAATTTAGTCAAGTTATCGAGAGGAAACCAGCAGGAACCTTCCTAATACAATCACAAATTACCATTTTCCCCAAGTTTAATAGGGTTTTATAACTTCCACTGTTTTTTTTTATCTGGTTTGGGGTTTAATTATTTTTTAGGCACTTAAATACTTGAAGGACAATTCAAACAATTAGAGGTGCAACTCATAGATTTAATGACATCATAACCTACTGGTACATACTTTTCGCTACTGTCATGTTTTGCAGGAAAATGCTATTGTTGAATAAAAAGCATATACAACTAACTGTATTGTGGTGGATTTATAGTGGTGAAGTTTGTTAAAATATAAAACTGTCTATTTGCACACCAAATTCTGTTACTTTAGTTTCTCGATTTTATTTTGATTCAAGTTGTTGAATATTTTAATTTGATGGTATTAAAATTGTATGCTGTTGCATTTTTGTTTATATATAATAATAATTATAATAATTGCAAGCAATTAATTGCAGATTTAATTGAATATTTTGAGAGTGAAAAGAAAAACGGTGGGTCATTATTACCACTAGAAGCAATTAGAATGAAAAGATACCTTTTAAAAGCACTTTTAATTATATTCTTTTTACTAGGTCTAACTTTCAGAATGGAGTATCAAAATGTGATATACATTTACATTACATTTGCCGATAAATATTCCTACAATAAATAATGTTCAATGTGTAGAGTGTATGCCATGTAAACTAAATACATCTATTGTAATATATATTTGTATTGTCTTCATATCATTCTGACTGTACAACCATGTATGGGTCCTAACCCCCTCAAGAATTTCTCTCTAATTGTCCCGATCTATCGCCTTCCTCTGCCAAGCATATGTTCCCGTATTTCTCATGCTTTCATTGATTGTCTTCATATTGTTTGTAATATTTTATAAATATACATGTAAAATATAACTTTGATTTTCATTTTTAAGCATTTTTATAAAAAGTAAAACATACATTTTATATAATTTTATTCCAAGTATATATAAATATATCTGTATTTTGTCTTCCCAGATTATATGATTTGAAAATAATATTTTGACATTATATTTATCCTCCATGATACAAAGATCAGATCCATAGAAATATCAGTTGTCAGTTACAATTTCCAATCGAACCAAATCCAATAATGACATATAGACTCATCACTAGTTATAGCCAATAAAATGATTGCTGTAATAGGAATGGTAAGTCAAGAAAATCTGATTATTCCCTATATACTTTTACAAATTTAAATATGACCACAAGGGGAAAATTGCGTACAAGCTTTATTGTTTGACTCATACCAATGATAGCTAATAGTAAATGCATGTGCTGGCTTCATAATCAATTAGAAAGAAATTAAGCTGGGTTAATGTATCATACTGTGTTAATACAGTGGATTATACAATAAAATAGAGACTGAAGGATCTTAAGGGTTAAGAATAATTTAATGAAAGCATTAAGAAACTATTACAAGGACATGTCATGTATGTCAATCGCAGTTGTTTTATTTACATATATCTTTCTAATAAGTAGATTATTGATACACAACTGAAGAAGCATAGAGAATCTGGGCAACAAATTGAGAACCTTGATTCTTAACATGTTTAGCCCCAAAGCATTGACACACTCCTTTTGTCTCAAACCAAATGTAATGTGGCCATGTTTAAAAACACTAATAGTGTGGGCCAAATTGGTACGAACTGTCCACTTTAAAAACATGCTTTGCTGTGTGTAAAAACCAATCTATTGCACATGGGGATAAATGATATTTTTATGCTGGTATAATTGTTATTCAATATTGAAGTATTTTTGTTTGTTGTGTATAATCTTAGGCCATATTGATTAAATATTGTCAGTTAATTTGGGATTTCACATTAGTTATCTATGTTTGTCATTTTCATTGCATTTGATAGTGGGACAGCAACAATAAATCTAATGTTTAAAACAAATTACACAGAATCTATAAATATGGAAGTAGTAAACCAAATTTTATAAAGAATAATTGAACCAAAAAGCAATAGTTTAAATTGAAAGAAAAACAACAGAAGCAATAATGAAAATAGGTTCTTCAGAAAACAAAAAGAAAATAACTTAAATTTATAATTTATCTAATTTGTAGAAAGTAGGAAGGTCATGCAGTTTATTTATTCCTTGCTCCCCTAACAAGATATTTTGTACCCTAATCTGTTTCATCTATTTAAACTAAGCCAAATATGCCCTGTTGCCAATTTAATATATTTTAAGTACTTATTTCAAGAAGGCAGTTTGTTATTTCTGGGGAGAAATTTACAAAAAATTTTTCCCTTTGTAAGTTGGTTAACTTTTGGTTTAACCAGTTTGACTCAAAAGTAAAAAACTTCAAACCATTTAAAGTATCTAGATTCTCTGGGAGAGAGATTTAGAGGCTGAAAACGGGTCCTATTACTATCACTCTCATTCTTTCTTCTACATTTAATTAACTACCATGCTTTTGGTTGGCCCAATGACATTTTTCCTGTATCTTCAAGTAATTGACTAAGTTATCCAGTTTTTTTGTATCTGGTGCAGTCTTAAGACACTAGTTACTGTCTCCTTCGTCATACAATATTGCAAAGAAGGTAGGGTCAGTAATTCTTTTGGAGCTGTTGAGGGGCATATTGCCACTATCCCTGTAATTCCCACACGTATCAGCTGTTACCCTTTCCAATTGCCATTGCAATTTACCATAAACCACTTTTGGTTTTTTTAAGTGAATTGTATCTAAGAAAACATTAGGTTAACAATCTTCTTCTTCTTACTAAACTAAATCTAAACTTACATGGAAATGCCATTTAAAAGATCTCAAAACTAAATGCATGACAAATCTTAACATATTAAAAACTCCGTCCAATCATCATTGGGGTGCAGACGAAGACTACTTACTTCAAATTTATAGATGTCTTATTCATTCTAAAATAGACTACTGCAGTTTCATTTATATGTCAGCTAGCCTGTCAGATTTAAAACTTCTTAATTCTGTACACAACAGTGCACTTCAAATCTGCCTTGGAGCCTTCAGGTTGAGCCCTGCAGAAAGTTTATACAGAGAAGCAAATGAACTTCCCCTCGGCTATGTCTCTGGCAACTCCTTTTAAAATATTCGTCTCGAATATCAGCTAATACTGAAAATCCAGCCTATAAATTACTAAGTAATGACTTTTTAAACTATTATTCTCATATTAATTAAACTCCAATCTATGCCAAAATATCTCTCACCACATCTGAATAACATCGATCTTTCAGCCACAACTCCAATATTAATATCAACTAATCTTCCCTGGAATGAATTGAAAGCAGATTTTAATCTCTCGTTAACTAATTATGATAAGCATCAGACAAATCCACACCTTCTAAGGCAAATCTTTAAAAAATTAATCGCGAATATCATATTTGACCAAATTGTATCTATATTTTCCAAGCTACAAACTTACTATCACCAGAATATAAAAAAGTAGTAATATGTACATACTATTTAGCAACTATCTACTCTCTCAAAAGTATGTACACGGTATATCCTTTAGTTCAAGCTATTCAAAACTCTTTTGACAGTTTAATCTTACTGGGAGTATCCAAACCATGATCTGGATTCCGTCTCATGTAGGAATCCCTAGTAACAAACTAGTTGACCTCCTTGCAAAATAAGCCTAATCTTTTAATATGAAGACTGAAAACATACAGATTTACAGTCATATTTTAACAATATCATCCAAATGTCTTGGCAAGATCACTGGAATAAAATCTCTTCCAAGATCTCTTAAAAAGATTGAGTTTCCTTTCATGACACGAAAAAACAAAATTTTAATTCACCATAAACATTTAATTCCCAAGATCCACCTGCATGTAGGTACACACTGTGGTAATATTCTATCTGTTGAACATATTATTGTAGACTATCCCTATTTCAACAACAACAGAAAAAAGAACTTCTTTACCTATTAGAAAAAAGAATCTTTTGAGTCAAAACCTACAAAGTATTCTCAACTCGCCAGACCAATTCCAAAACCTTAACCTAACCTTATTAATTTCCTCTATGAAACCAGGCTTTACCAGGAAATTTATAAGAAGAAACATAGTTTTAGAACTTGATAATTAATAATTGTACCAATATTTGTAATGTTACTGAATATTCTTGTAATTTAATGTAATAAAATTGTACCTGTGTCAGTGACCTACGCTGTTGGGACATGTAAAGCTACATAAAAAAATCTTCTGCCTGTGCCATATCCTCATTGGATGGTGGTGATCATTCTGCCAAGAAATGTGCCATCTACCTGGCCCTCTACATCCTTATAACTTACCCTGAATGATAACTTGTACATTGTGGTATTTATTATTTCTCATCACATGACCAAAATGTGATAGTTTTCTATATTTTACTGTGCAGATCAACTTTTGGCCTTGATCAATTCTTTGTAAAACATTGGTAACTCGAAGAATCCACAAGATACACATCATCCTTCAGTATTATTTTCGAATGGCGTTCTTACTGCATTTTCTTACTTGCTTGTTTAAGTGTTTAGAAAACCTTTTCTGAATTTATGAAAATTATTGAAAATCTTTTGGGTATATAAAGTATTAAACACGGAGGTATCTAAAAAGTTGGAAGGGAAATAAATATTAATTGAAAAAGACTGCTATCTTTTTGTACACCTTTATGACAAATGAATGATGGAAAAGATATTTTTGGAGTGTGTAAAATATTCAATTCCTAGCTGAATTCCTACAAAGCCATCCTCAGAGCTATGACCAAATTTATAAAGTACTTTAACATTACAGAGAGAAAATTCTTAAAAAAAACAACCAAAAGGCAGCACATAAGATTCCTCACGTCGAAAGCGCTCAGCTAGAAATTAAATATTTTACACACTTCAAAATATTTTTTCTTTTCCATTCATTCAAATGAATATTTAACATATAAGGAAAATGCACATTGACTTCTTAAAAATGTAATTTGGGTAATGATTGTGGAAAATTGTTAGGTGATACACAGAAAGATTTAGTAGCCATGATCAAAAGAGTAGTTGGTCTATTTCAGTTGTTAAAGTAGTTTATTTTTTTGTATTTAAGACCAGAATTATGGCTATTCCACAAATAATGTAGTTAAACGGAGAACAGCACTAAACTGACAACAGATAATTGAAAATCACAAGCAGTTGCAAAATAAGGCAGAAAAAAATAAAGAAACTGACAACAGATAATTGAAAATCACAAGCAGTTGCAAAATAAGGCAGAAAAAAAATAAAGAAACATATATACAGTGAAGCTCAAATAAAACACAAGGGATTTCAAAGCAAACATCCGAAGAAGACAAAAGTTATCGAAGTATAACAATGGATGCAACATTATGAAAAACTTTATATGGAATTGACCAAATAGCAGTACAATAATAATTTATGCAAGTGATCACAGTGTCCAAGAATAGAAAAGTAACAGGAGCTGACCAAGTAAGCATGGAGCTTTGACGATATGGATGTATCTTAATAGGTTAAAGATTGCCACATGTGAAATCACATACTTTTTGTTACTTATACACAATTTTATCTTGTTTTAATTAGTAGGTATAGAAATATTTATGATGGAACCTAAAGTAGTTCACAGTTGAGACAAATTCACTATTTAAAATTATTTTTGAGTTTCTTTTTTATCTGTTAATGTTGTTTGTTTATTTAAATCTTGTTATTACTGGATAAGTGTTTGTTTTGAATCCAAAACAAAATCATCAAAATTTTATTGAATAATCAGCGCCTTAATATTTTATTCAATTAAATGGAGGTTATTTTCAGAACACATTACACAGCTATATACATATAATTTCTTATTTCACTCTATTTTTGCAAAATACTGATAACCTTTGTTATCCACAACCTTTATTAATAGTTTTAAGAAAATATAAGGATATTAATTTACTTCGTTTTTAAAATAAAAATAAAGTGTGGTATTTCCACTTATGTTTGTACCAGAGGGATTACAAATTGTCAGGATTTGTGTCAAACCATTGTCAGGATACATTCTAGTTTCTAGGCCACAATTTTTAAGCTCACCACCCATAAACCCCTAAATTGATATCATGATTTAATATGTTTAAATTTTATATAACAACAAATAAACTATCCTAAACTATCGTCATATCTAATCGAATTAGCAGTTTACGCACAGGTAAAGAAACTATTTAAAAATATATTAG